ACGTTGTTACCTGATGTTCCCTTTGTTTTGTGATAAATATATTGAACTGTAAGAGGCACTGGCAGATTGATATCATATACTTGTCTATGCGATCGAAATCCTTACCCAGTTGCTCTATACATGAATTTATGTGATATGTTTATGCAAGTCCTTGTGAATGTCTTTTTGATTAAAAGGTTTCTATGAAACGTTATATGTCTATGTTATAACTCGTTTAAATGCTTATATTGAATCAGCGTCGTCCTACTAAACCTTGTTTGTGTTCTTTTCTGTGCATTTTGAGCAGTGTTCACAGTATAATTAATATTTGTTAACCCTGCTGCGTTTTACATGTCGAATAGTTTTATCTTGCCAAGACCACTATTTTAGCGCCAAGAAAGTGGACTAACGGTCAGTCCCCGAATTCTCGAATCCATGCCAGCAGCGTAACATCATACCGACGAGGGCGAGCGACGTGTGGGCGGCCGGCGCTTGCTTGGCGCGATGGTACATTGAAAGCACGCCTCGCACCAAGTATTGTCGGCTCTTACGAACCATCAATATTACGTTGTCCAGCAATGCAGTCGCGCGACGTTTGATCTGCTCTGCAGTATGGGTGCGCGGTAACCAGCTAATCCATGTCTCATTGATAGGCTGAACATCGTGTCCAAAAATATCAACGTTACACGACTGCGAAGCTGCGTTACTTACCAGAGCCCACTTGGCGAATCGTGGAGAGCCGATGATATCTGGTTTACCAACATAGTGATCATCGGTCGAATCTTGCAAAATGTCGGTGTCTCTGCTAATGATATTGACTTTTTGAGTTCAAAACATTCTTCGCGCCCTTGCAAAATATCAACGCGAACACCTTTCGCAAAGATGTGCGGTCTTTACAAAGATTTGGAGACCAATAGAGACCAATCGCATTAAGATAGGGCTATAACAGAGCGTCATTTGTCCGATAATATAGTTTATCGCTCAGCGACGAAAAAAGATTTCTTTCTAAATAATGAAACTAATGTTGCTTGGCAAGATTGTTTTAAGGAATGTTTCTCACCAAGCTCAAAATTGATTATCCGATTTGCCCCTTTATCAATGCCTGGTAACAACACACAAGCCCTTTCCTTCAGGCATGGGAACGTTGTCCGCTGCGTCTTGCAGGGTTCGATCAATAACTAGCTGTTGGTGGACCCTCTTCTCAAAAATGTCTCGGCTGCAGTATTTTCGGGTGGCCCTGAAGGTAATTCACTTAATTAAGAGGACTGACGATGGAACAAAGACTGGCTCCTGCACTTGCCATCTGTTTTATGTATTTGAGCAGCCTGTGCTGAAGCGATCTACCCTAATGTACTACCGCTACATCGCTTATTGTTGCATAATCGCATCCACTCATTCTGAAACGTTAGAATAATTAACCAACATCTGCATACATTAGTCTTACAAAGGAAAAGGTACGGGACAGTAGGCTTCCGTACCTCAACCACAGAATATGCTAGTCAGTGGAGCGGTACAGATTAAATTGTATTGAAACGATAGCTGTTAGAATTTCATTCCACTTGCAAGAATTGTCAGCTATTGCTATGAAACGTGCAACAACTCGCAATAATTTTGAAGCAGTAGTTAGTGTTGGCAGTGGTAAATGTGAATAATAACCAGTAATAGTCATGCTCCAGCGCAAATCTATGAGCGCAGGGTGCAAGCGCAGTTGGAAAACAACGTTCCTTATACACATTCCTCAGAATAATTCAAGAGGCAAATAGTTCACAATAGGGATTGCGTCGTGTGTTTGAATAGAGTGGGAAACTGCTTCAAAACGAAGTGGTTTATCAACTGAAGTGCACCCATTCCCCGCAACCGGCGAGATCGGTTGCCCACTTCACATGTAAATGCGCACTGGCCGTTAAAAGAAGGCAGAGTCTTGGGAGCCCTTTAGGAAGCATAG